TCATATAGTACTAAAATAAACTTCTAAAAATGTCAAAAATGACAGCACTTGAATAAAGAACTGGCTCAAAAAACTGAATTAAAATGAAGTTTTAGCATGAATCTGAGAAGCTAAAATAACTTCTAAAGAGAAAAATGTTCATCTATATTTATCCAGGATGCTTGCCAAATTTGTATCCATACACAAGCACACATATTCACTGTGTGGAGTACAATTGCACTGCAGGCAGGCAACGACCCAAAATGAGGCTGCTAGATGAATTTGAACTGGAACATTTCTGCAACAATAGCTTATTTAAGTTTCAGTATTTTATAGGTCTTCAGAGAAACTGCAATATCCAGCCTTTCCTGAAAGAATCCACTGTCTGTCATGATGTCCATTCACTGCTCCACATACAAAAGTTTAGCATGGGAAGGAAGCATCTGGAGGGAGGCAGAAAGGAATGAGAAGGGAGAGGGAATAGTTTAAAATAAAATGTCTGGATTTACAACGTTCAGAAAACAAGTCTTTAGCACTCCAAAACTCCAACTGAAGCATACTTATGACCTCTGGTTCTCTGTACGTCTGTGCTGTCTGCATACATAGACATAAGAGTTCCAACAGAACAGCAAGAAAGTCACCAAAGTAAAACAAATGTAATGGTTCTGCCCTTTAAGAAGAAGATCAAAGTTCAGAATCATCCATTTGCAACAAATATATACAAAATATATCTCTTCTTGGCTAGAGTTTTTCAAAGTCCAAAGACAATCGGGCCACTGAGGCATGGAGACTTACCAATCAAAGCAAAACTGCCAGTGGGCTGAGGTAATTCAGCAAGCACAATACAACATAACTTTTGGCCCGAAATGAAACACGTGGGGACTAGGAGAGCAGGAGTTGCCATTACCTTGTGTGGCTGTTGGATGACAGGCTTTCCCAGGGCTGCACGCTACAGCCAGTGACTGCATAGGCTCCCCCGCAGCTCCCATCTAGTTTCATCAGCAAGGCTTTTGCTGCATTCTCAGCTGTCTTCCTGCAGTCATGAGCTCTCTTAAGCATCTGAGTGATGTTTTCATCACCTGTCTGGTCCCCTAGTTTTCAACCAAACATTCTGTTACAGAGCTTTGAGAAGGGTGATACAAATTAAAGCAAAAGTTGAGATGCTTCTATGTGCTCTCAGTTTGTACCAAGCTGATGACAATAATTTACCAATCTGTGATGTAAAAGCAACTTCACATCACTGGTAACAGCTACTGGCCTGAACACATCTCCCTCCCAGCCACAAGCTCCATGTACCTCCTGCTCCTGGTGGATGTCTTCAGTGGTGTTTAGTATTAGCTAGCTTGTCTGTCTGTAAGGGTGTGCAGTGTACATTAGGATTAGGCCTGAATCCTCAAATTAATAATACAATGGAAAAACCTGAGCCTAAATTACAACTCTTATCCCAATTCTGTCCAGTGCTTCTTAATTCCACTCTGTAAAGCTGCATGATGTACCTCCTGCTCCTGGTGGATGTCTTCAGTGGTGTTTAGTATTAGCTAGCTTGTCTGTCTGTAAGGGTGTGCAGTGTACATTAGGATTAGGCCTGAATCCTCAAATTAATAATACAATGGAAAAACCTGAGCCTAAATTACAACTCTTATCCCAATTCTGTCCAGTGCTTCTTAATTCCACTCTGTAAAGCTGCATGGCTGTAGCAGCCACAACACCACAGAATAGTCCACCCCTTGCAGTCGTATACATAGGTTAATTTAAATTGCTGGTGAATTTTATTATTTAACTCCAGTCTCTCTTTTACTTTTACCCTATATTTTTTTGGGTGTGTAAAATTATTTAAATATTTAAAACCAGTAAAAGACCAGAGAGCACTCCTAAGTGATGGGTCATGAGATGATTCATCACTACAACTAACTATAATGCTAATTGATATGCAAAAAAGAAAAAAAAAAAAAGAAGAATTAAATAAAGTGATTGACATCTTACCAACAGAACCAACACCTGCAGCTCTGAACTGCCCCAGAATGAGGCTCTGCTCACTTTCTGCCAATGCCAACAGCAGCTCATATGCTTCTATACACTGTTCACTGTAAGAAAAAACAAACCGTGGAAAACAAAAAGGCACATAAAATATATCTGTAGTTTAGAGAAGAGGAATGACTGAAACAGCAACAACGAAATAGGAGGTAGCTGATGCACTACATGAGTTCCTAGTACTTGTCTAGCATCAGCTGTATTAAATGATGTAATGCACATAGCTTCTGTCATATGCATTCTGAAGTCTCCCCTTCCTTATGATGTTCCCAGGTTGTCCTCAAGCAATTTGACAAATTAAAACAGAAGAGAATGACCTGATGTGAAGTGAGCTCCCGAAGCATGTTTGAAACAGTCAACAACATGAATGGTGGTTCACTTGATCGCTCTGTGGAACTTCTTTCAGGCCTTCTTACTATACGAAATACAGTATTCTCTATGCTAGTATATAACTAGACTACACAAGAGGCAGCAAGAAGAAAAGACAAGAAAAATCCTTGTTCTGGCTGTAAGACTGACAACCAGTTTAACCAAAGGGGCATTTTTTCAGGGAGGTAACAAAAAGGAACAGCATTACTACAGCACACAAACAATTTCATTCTCAAAGACTTCTATCAAGTCTCCCCTGCTCCCTCTTTTTCTAGCTGAGACACCCTCTGCATAGGTACATACCTGTACTGCAAAGCAAGCCTGAGGGCTGTGGCATTGGACTCATACTTCCCAACAAGCATGCTCATCCTCTCGGCATTGCTCTTGCACTCTTCCAGTGTTATTGTCAACAAGTCATTCTGGGATTTCAAGTGCTCAATACGGCTGTAGAAAAGGAAGTAATTTGCAACCTTCAGCCTCAGCTTGCAGACACTCTCCTGAAACCTCTAGAGCAATCATTATTTAAAACAACAAATACCATTTGGTCTACACCAATTTTTTAATGAAGATGGCAAAACCTATCAGTTTTCTGTCCCATCTCAAGAGCCAAAATCATAGTAATTTTTCTTAGGAGAGCCTCTTCTTCTCCTCTCCTTCCCATAAAATGTAATCATAACCCTGTGCAAGAGCAGCAAGCTAAACTCTGTACCCTTATTTTGTAGCCACAATACTGTGTAGGATAGTTCCATATTAACCTTTTGCTTTGTTTTTCTGCCTTCATTCCTCACTACCTGCTGCCGTATTTGTTTCAAGCGGCATATCTGCTGGTGTGATGCGTGAGTGTGCGTGTGGATTATGCAGGCTGAAGTGGAAAAGACTGAGAGGGGATCTTATCAGTGCTTATAAATACCTAAAGAGTAAGTTTCAATAGACACTTAGAAACAATAGACTCTTCTGAGTGGTGCCCAGAGACGGGACAAGGGGCAACAGGCACAAAATGGAACACAGTTCCACCTGAACGTGAAGGAAAATTTCTTTACTTTTGAGGATGACAAGAGCCCTGAAACAGGCTGCCCAGAGATGTTGTGGAGTCTCCTTCTCTGGATACTTTCAAACCCCACCTGGATGTGCAACCTGCTCTAGGTGAACTTGCTTTAGAATTGGACTAGATGATCCCCAGAGGTCTCTTCCAACCCCTACTATTCTGAGATTCTGTTGTCAAAGCACAACTGTGCAGTGCACAGAAGAAGGAAGAAAAAAAAAAAGAAGAAAAAAAGGATCCTATTTTGCAGCACTACAAAAACATAAGCTACAAATAAAGAGATATTGTACTGATCAGACTAAATTTGAGATATCCATGCCAAAGAGCGAACTTGGAAGAAAACACGCTGCGACATGAGTCTCACATTCCTGATCCACAGTTTTGATTTTATGTGCCAAAGAGGACATGAAGCACTGCTTTTGACAGAGCTTATTAAGGGATAACGCCAGCAGTATTTTAACTGCAACCAGAAAGCTGCAACCTTTCTCCTGGAGACAGAATTCTGTTTACTGGTGTCTATGCCACATTACCATACATCAGTACATTCATTGATACTGCTGATTTTTTAAAATTTTGTTTCTTTACCCCAAATCAAAGCAAGCCAGTTCCAGAATGATGGAGAATAATATATGGGAATCCTTATTTCTATCAGGGATGTGTCTTATGAAAAAAGATGCCATGTCTAATTGGTCAGCTGTAGAGCACGATACTCTGCAGTGCAAATTGTCCCAGGTGAAGGTGCCCTGTTGACCTAATAATGTATGACCAAATTATCATGCTAATGGAAAGAAGCAGAGTATGATATGGCCCTTCTCTTCATGAACTACATTCCATGTTTATCTGCAGCTGCCACAGTTGAGGGCCTGTGGGGCTGAACTACGAAATGTTCAAAAAGGATAAAAAAGTAGTAACTTTAACAAAGCTAATAGCAGGCAACATATTTGAGCATACCTAACTTCTCACCTTACCTGTTTAATCTCTCTGTCTCCACTTCAAACTCTCGGATTTTACTTTCAGAGATGGCAGATCCATGTGAATACAGAGTCTGGAAGATTTCCTGGATGTTTGAGCAGTCTTGGAGGGAATGTGCCAAATGCTCAGCCACAGTACTAGACACCTGCAGAGGGCAGTTAATAATAGATCATTGTGAACAGATAACCACTGGATTCCTCCTGTAGGCAGTCTGCATTGAGAGCTGCATTTGCTTGCATGCACTCACTTCAAGGCATCCATTATTCAGTTTTTACTATGAATTTTACATTGAATAGAACATTTACAGGTTTTCACTTTAAGAAGTTATTTAAAATTCTGCTAACCAAAGGGTGAAGCCCGTTGTTTCATCACATATTTAAAAACCCTAACATGCAAGTTATTTACACCCTTGAAAGCTTAGCAAAAGGTCAGAGCTAAGTTCTTTATAGAAACAAATACTAACGCACAGTAACAACAATATTATGGATTTACATCAGCACTTCAAAGCAGAAGCCAGTTCTCTGCTGACTGGAAGCTGTGGAATGGAACTGAACAGTCTTTTCTTGACAAATAATATTTTGGAGGAATTGACTCCAAAATTATCCTCCCCTGGTCACTCAGAGAATGGTTTCTAGCCAACAGGTATGAGAAAATGAGATCTTAACACTGGGTGAAATATTGTCTGTTCAAGTATTTTTTCTCAAAATAACTTTTAAGGTATTTTCCATTAGCTCGTTTACTAATTTAATAAGAAAACAATGCTGCTTTTAAATGAAACACGGCTCACCTTCAGAAGGCATCATGCATGCAGACAATTATTAGTCCTTACCCCTATGCTGCTGATTTCTGATCCTAAGACAGGTCTATCAGATGACAAAGATTCTGATCTTGTCTTTGACAACTTCACTCTTTCAGCAATCTGCAAACCAGAATGCTGTACAGGTTACACAGGAACCCACACTTCATAAAGATCACACAAAATGCACTTGTTCACCAGCTGCCCTTGCAAACCTGAAGTAAACGACTGCAAAATTGACATCTGAGTTATAACTGAAAGAATTACAATCATTAGCACTTAATTCCCTTCCGCAGCTCAAGTTCATGCTTGCTTAGGACCCCAGATAACTCTCCGGGGGTTCTCCCAGCCAGTCCCACGCTTGCTCACCAGCTGTGCAAAATGAAGCCTGGCCCCCCCAGGCACTGAGCAGGAAAGGTCGCTGCAGCAGCGAGCGCTCACCTTGGCTATAGGAATGTCGTTGCTGCTGCTGCTTGTGCTCAGCTCTCCCGTGCTGGGGTTGATGGGTCGATTGGCAGAAGTCAGACGACTTGGACTGGAGGGGCCTGTCGCTTGCATGCTTTGCAACCGTGTCTGCAGTTCCCGAACCTGCAAAAAAACACAGCATTCTGTTTTTTCCACTTTTTTTTTAAATTTTTTTTTTAACATAGTTTGGAGATTTTTCTCATCGTCTAGCAAAGCCTAATTGCTTATAACTTGAGCACAGAAGTTGTGCTTTGTCCTGTGGTGACCATTAAGTTTTCACATGCGGAGCAGATGCATGGAGGCTATTTTAAAATTCCACTGTTGTCAGGTTTTTAAACTACTTGCAATGTGGAAATATGCAAATGTAATACTGTAAAGTAATAACTTAGAGTTTCAACTTTTTTATATAACCCCTTCAGAGCAGCTGTACTATATGTATAGAAATTTTTCTATCTGAGGTGAAGCCAATGCTCTAGCCTAAGATTCTGATGCCTAAACAAACCAAATGAAGATCCTGTTAGCAGAAAGCTCCAGTGTTGAAAAAACTCTTGACATATCACAGGATGAATTTGTCATAAAGGTCAAAGACAGCCAAACATTAATAACGCTTTCAAATTAGAGTTAAGTAAAGCTACCATATATGTCTGTACAAAGCAATGTACGGACAAGAAGATATCAGCAAAGTACCCAACCAGGAGTCTGCAGAAGCTCTCTGTAAACATACGTTGCAAACACTGCACAGTTCTTGTAACCCATCAGATACTTGTAGAACTGTTGTCAAATGATTTTCAGGACTAAAGAGTAAAAAAAACCCAGTCTGTATGACCCAAACTACAGCTGAGCTAAAGATTATAGTGTTTACCTTGGAATAATTCTTAACAGACAAGCAATAAATCTTAACACAACAATTATGCCACAAGGTAAAGTGACAGAACTCATTTTTCCTACAGAATCTCAAAAGCGTGGGAGATGAGAGACGGGGAAGGAAACCACACGATGAGGAAATCTCCATGAATACAGAGTGTTTAATATGCAAGTGTTCTTTTTTACTTTTAATACACAAATTGATTTTGTTGGGACAGTTCATCTGCAAAATGGTATTGATGAAATTTTACCAAAAGACCAGTGGAATAACAGTTCAGTCTGTTTGATAGCCCCCTGTAGCACAAAATGCAACTCTGATTCCTATTCTCTAAAACAAGGTGAGATTTATATTAAATACAATAAATTTACATAAAGAACTGAGCAAGCAAGCTGAAATCACTTCGTTAAAAGATATCAAAGTTCAAGTTCCATTAAGCTTAGGCTTTCTTTCGCTGTAGGCTCACCAACTGCATGGTCAGTGTTTTAGCAATCTCTGCTTGAAGAGGTGGCAGTCAGCACGTTCCATGCACAACATATACAGATCCCTTCAACCTAATGCAGTGAGGAAAGAGTTCAAGCTGGAACTCTCTCCAGTCAGCAATGCAGTATTTCATGTGTCCTATTATCCCCTACAGTTTGCTTCTACTTCCCTGAAAAGTATCCCTGCCCCTCCCTCAGTTGTACGCAAACTGAAGATCAGGTTGCCCAAGGACCTTTTTAGGCATGTGCAAATTACAAAAAAAACCCAACCAAATAAAAAAAAACCCTAACCAACAAAACAAAAACCAAACCACAAAACCCAGCCCTGTGTGTTTTTACGTAACAGAACAGAACAATTGCATGTTAGCAATAAAAATCTGTAGGTGGCAACAATAAGAGCACATTAAGGCTGACTGCACCCCTAACCTCCCTGTTCAGTTGTAGAGGAGTGTTACACCTTAAACAAAATGAATCCAAACTATTCCATTTGCCTACCTTAAAAAAAAAAAAAAAAAAAAAGATTAAATACACAAAGCCTTAAATTAAATCCCCAATGTTTAAAGTAACTTGCTGAAAAATGGATATGGGTGCTTGCCCCAGAATTATACATCTTAACTATAATCGTATCAGAAAGTTAACTTAGCAGAGTTTATAAAGTGCACATTCATAGCGCATTATCTTCCACATATTCAACAGCTGAGGTCTCCTTTGTTCGTACAGACGTATACGATTTCAACATGGGTACAGCTGCACTAATGCAAACCTTAAGGACAAAAGTGCTCTACTGATGCAAACCAATCATTCCAGCCTGCTGATATGCATAAAACTGAAATAAAATATGTATGCATGTTTCTGCTTGCAGATGTGGAACACCAGTGAAGACAGGATTTGTACTATGGCATTAACACTGGAAAAGAAAAGAAAAAGCAGCAACCCCAAAACTTCATTGAATCAAAATCACATTTCTCACTATTCATTTTAGCCTGGGCTGTTCCAGACCAAATTCTCCAAATGCTTCAGTTACAGCATTGTTTAAAAGCAGACAAACAGGACAATCACTAGAGATGTATTCTTCAGAATATCAAATCCCTGCCTCAATATCTGACTTGAAAATTGCTAAAAATATTCACCTATGCCCAGAAGCTAGTCCTGGAACATTTCAGTCCAAAAGCAAGCAACATTCCAAATCTAAGGGCAACCAGGAAACAGAGTTAGAAGCTTCTTAAAAAGCGAAGCATTCATGGATTCCAATGTTTAAAATACGCTATGTTAGGGACAGTACTGTACCAAAACTCCAATGCAGATAGGTTTCCTTTAGTCTATGCTTTACTAATGAACTGTGACTACTGGCCACAATTACAAAACCAACTATTCTTAAGTATCTGCAAAACAATGTTAGCAACAGAAAGAAAATTAAGACAGCCAAAACCGTGGCCAGTTAAAGCTTTGCTCAGGAAAGCATTTATAGAAGAAAACTCAGAGCACAATACAGTTATCAATCTATGCAAGTCACTGCTTTAATACCGTACCACAGAAGCAACCACAACTTAAAGAAGCTGCCTGCTTATTCATGCTTCTTGATGCATCTGCTCATCCAGGCCTTCATTTGAGAAATTGCATGCTGCATTAATTGCTATAAATAACTGCACTAACTTTAGCAATGCTGAGTAGTAGATAGTAATTCTGAGCAGGATAAGAGGGCAATTTTGTCTGACCTGCAAAATCATCAGTCTCACAATTCACACGTTCAGAATCTCACAGCTGGGTTGCCCACCCACTAGACTGCCAAGAGACAGCTTATGTAACTATTTCTGGTCACCAAAACCTTCACTGTAAACAGAGACACATGCACTAACTCCATGAAAGTACTTTTTGTACAGTAGTAGTAATTCTGCAGTAAAAATAAAGGAAGACCAAAGAACAGGAATTAAGAAAAAGACTTCAGAAGGGCCATTTTCCTCTCTGGACTTAAGTTATGAAAAGACTAGTTCAAAAATTATGACAAAAAATTGCCTGATCACCCCTGCTCAATACTTCTACCAGTCTTAAGTGTTATAACCAATGTAGTATCAGGTATTCTGAAGGTTACGTTTATTAGTAGAATGAAGGTAACTGCGGTACTGCAAATGAAACACCACAAACACTACAAAATGAGGGAAAAAGGAAGGGCTGATCATACATTAAATGGATGACAAAACTGGCAAAATCCTATCGGTGACAAAGAACTGAAACCACCAAAGTTCCACTGAAGGAGAGGATTTGTGAGTTGGGGAGGAATAACAAGAAAAGATTTAAAGAACGATTTCTTCAGCTCTTGCATTATGCTTTAAAACAGAAACATCCAGAAAGATATAAAAATTGTTGTGAAGTCCTAAAACTCTAAATTGAGACTGAAGGTGGCCAACAAGCTGGTCTAATTATATGATTAGAGGGAAAAAAAAAAGGTGATAACAGAGGAAAAAAGGAGAAATCCAGGGAAACATCTGTAAAGTCCACAATTAAAAAAAGGAAATAGCAAAGTTCTTCTAAGCAGCTGGAGGAAGGCCAAAGCATTACAGAAGTAAAGAAGTGCTGGAACCCTGGAAAGAGCAGGAGCAGGGGCACTGAGAGTAATACAAGGCAACAGAACTATTAGACTTCCAAAGCAGTGGGTAGTCTAGATACGACAGTAAGTCAGGTGCAAACAGACTTTCTGAAGCTATTGATACAAACACAAATAACTGGAGATTTTATTTATTAATATTTTGTCAAGTCTTAGGGCCAGGCTGGCCTCTAGATGAATGACAGATGCTCTATGTTAACCCCTCTCCCTTCCCCAAG